ACGAGGGAAGTGTGCACACTCAGATGTACACAGGGAAGACAAGAGGAGGGAGCCAGTGATAGAAGGAGAGCAAAGTCCATGGGGCTCAGAAGGAGACTGACTCCAGCACCCTGCAGATGCTTGGGCCGAAACGGAGTGGACCCGATCTGCAACACTTTCTATGGCTTCCGAAGTTATCCTGACAGTGCGCCAAAGCTAGCAATAAAAGCACAGTACCCATCGCTCTCCGCTTTCAACAACAAAATGCTTTGAAAAGCATCTAAGTTTAGCTTGCCCCGAGTCAATGGGGCCTCTGGATCTGGCGGGGGGGCTAGACCTGCCCAGAACTGGACCTGCCCAGGATGGGCGCAACCGCACCGAGACAGCATGGCCTCCGGGTTTTGCCGTCATGGTGTGTTACTTTCTTCCTGTGAAGCTCCTTAAAATACCAACCGGCTGGCTCCCCAAGGTAGAGGGTTCCTGGGCCTCAATCGTCAGCAGCGATGTCACCATAACTCTAAGTTCTCCGAGTCGGGGGGGGGGGGGGCTTGGTATGGTGGAGTGTGGCTCTCAAGTTCCTGGTCTCCAGAAGCCCAAACGGGGCTGGACGGGGAAGGTGCTTTCCCAGGCAGGCCGTGGCCTCAGATCGGAAGCGCACATGCCGCTGTTACTCCTGGCAGCGGAGGAGTGTGATCTGAACAAAGCCAGCCTGGTGCTGTGTGCAGCCCTTTTATGAATAGATCACTGTTCACAGTGCACGGCCCAGTGTGGCTCCAGCGCCAGCCAGGCTCCTTGTCACGTGGGTCGGGGGTGGTGGCAGCAGATTGGTGGGGGTGGGTCTGAGGGTTTCTGAGAGAATGGCAGCCCTCGCTGGGGTCTTTGGGCTGTATATGTTGTGCTGTTATGATTGGTCCCCATTTTCATCTGGTGGTTTTGAGGTGTGAGCTTTCCTGAGCTACTGTTTCTCTTAACTTGATATGCGTTGTTTTTCCTGATAATCTGCATAAACAGATCACCATACTAAATTATTAGGGCAACCACAGTAGGTATTTAGTATTTCTAAGTGAACAAAATTAGAATGTCCCTCTGAAGTTGTCTAAAGTAAAAAGTCCAGCAAAATCTGGTGCCTCAGGTTTGTGATCCTGGGCACTCTGGAAGCTGAAGTAGAAGGGTCAAAAGTTTAAGACCCAGGGCTGGAGTGATGGCTCAGTGTTTAAGAACACGGTCTTCTCTTCCAGATGACCTAGGTTTGATTCTCAGCACCCACATGGAGGCTGGCTCATCCGAAACTCCCGTCCAAGGAGATCTGACATCCTCTCTGGCCTCTGTGGGCAGCAGGCCCACACATGGTGGGCAGACTATGGGCAGGCAGAACATTCATACACATAAAATAAAAATAAGTAAACCTCTGTAAAAGAAAAAAGTTTAAGGACTGCCTGGGCTACAGAATGATTGAGGTACCTTAGTGCCTGGGCAGCTTCGTGAGACCCTGCCTTAGCAGAAAGGGGGGCTGGAGCTGGGAGGGTGGCTGAGCCCTGGCTGAGCCCTGGCAGAGCCCTGGCAGAGCTCTGGCTGAGCCCTGGCTGAGCACGCAGAGGGTAAACTTCCAGCCTTTGCTTCAGGTCTTCAGCCCAGGGATTGCTTTAATCACATCCACAGAATCACTGCTCTTGTGTGTCTGTGGGATTCTGGCTGAAACAGGTAAATAAACAGTGAATCCGGAGGCTGGCTGACAAATGACTTTATCATATGGCTACCTGCTTAGAAGCGGTGCAACTTAAGAGCTTGAAGCCCCCACTCCCACCCCACTTTGAAAACATGCCTGGCTTCCACAGAGCTTGTCTTTACCATGTGTACTCTTCCCTTGAACACTTCTACTTTCTCAATAGCTCAGGTGAGAGGCTGAGGCCACCCCTTATCTCCTTGGGCAGCGAGAAGCCAAGGCAGATGGAGAGAGAGCTGCACGGGCTGAGACTCCCCAGTGGAGACCTTAAATGCTGCCGGAGACATTACCCATCACTCAAGTGGCCTGCCTATCTACCCACCAATGCTCCTTTTCCACCGTGCTCAACTGGGACCCCCATGATTCAAGAGCAGAAAGGATTTATAGCCTTGTGATCAGTTGAAGCTTTTACACAAGACAGACTTGCAGTTGAGGGGACACATGGGCTTGTCTAAGGCCGCACACAGGGAAATGGATGCCGAGCTACGGACTTGGTGGTTAACAGCAGAACCCAAATGCTAGTAGTTGCTTATCAGCTAGTGTGGTACTGCTGTATGGACAGCCTTGTCTGTCCTCATCACTCGACCCCTAAGGGCCTAAGATAGAGCATGGAGCCCAGGGCTCAAGTGTGTGTCCTTAAAGCACCACGGGACAAATCCCTCTTTGTCCTCAAGGTCACTTTGTCATGAGTTTAATATTCATTTGTATATATACATACCCTCAGCCCAGGAATCATGCCACTGCAGTAGGAATAGAATTTACTTTTTCTTTTGCTACCTGTAGCTAATGACTGTAAAGCTTTCTGGCAAAGGAAGATGAGAATCTACAGGAAGATAGAGTTGGCAGAATCCCCACGAGTCTTTTATCCAGGATACAGGCGTTTGCATCTTCAGAGGAGAGCCATGGTGAAGTGATACTCACAAAGGGTGTGCTGAGGAAGTCCTTACTCAACAGCTCACGAGTGATTCTTGAGGCCACCAGGTCCCCTGCAGTCACAGAATCCAAAGAGGTCAATTAAACTTTGCACAGCATGTTCAGCCATCCCGCCTCTGGGAGAAAACACAGGGCTCCTAAGACTGTGGTGGGCGCTGTCATCTGTAGAGTCAGAGCCTGGAGGTCCAGGCAACTGTGGACTAAAGATAGTTTGAAAATTTGGATAATTATAAATAACCACACAATAAAAACCGACCTCAGTGCACACAGTGTTGCTCACTTGCACAGCCTGGGACATCATTAGTCTTTCAACATAGGGAGGAGATGCTGTGAGAACTCAACACAGTGTAACATGGGGCCTAGAGTGTCTGGGATGCTTGAGCCATACCCAACGATGGGCAGAGTTTGAAGGTGAAGGAGACAGACCATGAGAATGGAGCATATTGTGCTCAGAGCAAGTCCCACCTCCTTATTCTTTCTGCATCTTCCTTGCAGCGCTCAAGAATCTGAGGAATCTTCTGCGTGGAGACTGTGAGCTGCCTTTGGTCCACTCTGCCCTGTGCATTGATAAAATGACCCATTTATGGTTTTAAAATTCAGATTTCATCTCCACAAACCCTGCTCTGTGACAGTATGAATGTATTCGAAGCACAAAGCCACTACTTTTCAGCTATAACATAGGCGAGTCATTGTTTTATTTGTTTTTCCAAGCTGACGGAAATTGTTTCCCAGATGACGTGGGAGCTGTGGACTGATGAATGGAGCAGACCTCCAGGATTTGTGCCCTGGAAACACAGGATGCAGAGGTTTGAATTGCCATGGTGGACCTCCAAAGCTGTGCAATGGGGTGAATTTCTGCTCATCAAGGTGCCATTAAGCTGTGTCGACCGGCTGTTTTGTCTGCCCTGTGGTAGCTGTGCTGTGTCTCAGACATCCCCCTTCCAACCCATCGCATTCTCTGCCCAGGCCTGCTAATCTCTCCCAAGTGCTAGCTGATAATTTAAAGTGTGATCACTCCCAGGAGGATTACATTTCAAAAAAGGGCCTCCAAGACAGAAAATACTCCCACGAAAGGCGATGGAGGAGGGGAGGCTGTTATTTTTTAACCTGCTCGAACGCTGAGTTCCAGGCTGTTTCCTTCCCACCCAGTCAGAGCCCACCTAAAACCTGCCCCTGTGGGCATCTCGGCTCCCTCCGCCTGAGAGCTCACGGAACTATTTCTTCCCTGGGGCATGCACAGGCTGTCACAGTAATTCCGGCCGAAAATCTGGTTTATCTCCCCGTGTCCCGGCTACAAAGGACGTTGATTTCATCTAGAGCAGACTCCTGGAGACTGGGTGACGCTGCTCGCTGCTTTGATGGCAGGAGCGTGGGAACGGCAGCTGCGGGCTCCATGACCGCACATGCGGGTGGATTGCAGTCTCAGAAGCAGAAGGATCTATCTTAGGCTCTGAGCTTAAAATACTATTACAACATCTGTTACCTGTTTGCTCAGGTATTTGGACATGCTTTGGGGTGGAGCCCCTGGCCTACCAGGCTTACTCACAGCAGCTTTATTTTGTTGGAATCTGTGTCAGCGCTGCCTCTAGCAGCATCACCATAGGTGCGTGTATGCTATGCCAGTCTTTTCAGTATGTTCTAATGTCATTGATTTATGCGTTCAAAAGCAAGTGTGTCTGGGATAATTTCTCAAATCATCTGACACTAGAGACACATTGCATGTGCACCTAAGAATACAGATACAGAAGCATCACACGGAGATTTTTCGTACCTGTCGTACCTCATTTCGGTGTTCCTGACACCTCCCTCAGGGCAGTCAGCACACACTCACCATGCAGGCTCTGGGCAGGACCCTTTGGCTTCCAGGGCGCTGATGAATGACTTGCACTTGGTTTGGCCAACACCACAGCTAACATGTTCTCCTGAGAGAAGCCTGTGTTTGCCCTGTGTTTTCAGCACATAGACCTTAAAGCCCCAGAGATAGGACTACAGACCACCCCAAGCGAGGGACATACAGCAGCTCTTGTCCAGTGGCCTCTGCTAATTGTTGGTAACCATCTCCATCCCCAGGGCAGGGCCTATTTTAATAGGAAGCAGAAATAGCATCCGTCCTAGTGAGCTTGTAAAACCTTGGTGAATGATTGATGCTTATTAGTTTTCTTTCATGGTCACCTCAGCAGCAACAGCAACAGCAACAGCAACATTACCATCATGACCACCATTATTATGGTTATCATCCTTATCATCATCATCATTATGATCTTCACCATCATCCTCATCGCCACCATCACTACCATCATCCTCGCTACCTTTTATCTGAAAAATACATTGTGATGTAGGTTGAGAAATTTCTGTCCCCCCACCCCACCCCAGCAATGGGCGAAGAGACACCTTGTTGGTGGTATCGTTCGTGTATCAGTCAGTGGCAGAGCAGATGGCAGAGTCCTATGTTCATCCTACCTTGATGTCTGGCTTGGTGGTCAAAGCTGCTTTATGCCTAGAGCATGTTGAAGAAAGGAAAGGAAGAAAGAAAGAAAGAAAGAAAGAAAGAAGGAAGGAAGGAAGGAAGGAAGGAAGGAAGGAAGGAAGGAAGGAAAGATTTCTGTTTCCCAGAAGCGATAAGGAGGTACCCATTTGATGCCATGTTTTACTGTTGGGTAAAGGAAGGCAGGGGTCCCTATGTGATTTAAGGGGTGACCCCCAAGTTGCCCATACAATTATTCACTTGCCTGCCCACTTTTGCAAGTCTTCTAGGAAAGCCTTCTAAGATCCTAAGTTGCCTGTTTCTAAGCAATTGTCTTCTAAGCCAACTTGCGGGACATGTTTATTTCCCAAAAAATATTAGGCCTTCAATTTAAAAACATTTTTAATAGGCAGTTAAATGTACACAAAAGCAAATAGCATAGTATAAAGAGACACAGCGCTATCCACTGTGGTGATAACAAGCTGTTTGCCAGCCCTGTCCAGAGTTAAAGAGGATAGCGAACTGTCTGGGACTAGGCCAATCTTGATGTATGTGTACACACACACACAAGAAACCAAGAGAGGGGGAGAGAAGGGGGGGGACAGGGACAGGGAGAGATTTGTAAGAGGGCTTGCTTTTCTAACTGTTAACTACGCTCTTTGAAGCAGTATGTTTCCTGAAAATTCCACTCTTTTCTTGCTATTAAGCTGAATGCCTTTATGTGTGTATTCACAAGATATCAGATGTCTTTATGTACACAGGAAGAGGTAGTCAGTTCTCTGGGAGTCAGAATTCCAGATGGCTGTCACTGTGGGATAAATGGTGCCTGTTCAAGAGTGCCTGGTGGTCACAGCTTCACATTGAACCTGGGTCTGGACACTCTGCAGTCACTGAGTCAATTATTTAAGTTATATATAATTTACCCTCCTTTGTTCGTCCTCCCTTTTGTTTGTGACTGGGCTTCCCTCTATGCCGAAGGAAGGCCTTGAACTTGCGATCCCCCTGACTCTGTATGCCATGTGCAGGGATTACAGGCTGGTTCCTGAGGCTCAGGCCTTTCACTGGTTTATTCAGCGCATGTTGAGCAGTGACTCTAGCAGGGATTGTGAAGGGCACAGGGCACTGGATCCTTCCCTCCCCATCTGTGGAGAATGGCACAGGACTGTGTGTGAGGGTTGGTTTCAAATGCTGGCATGCCACAATTAACAATTATTAAGGAGTCTTAGCTGAGAAATCGTGCTTTAACTGATGTGGGAAAACCCGTGTCTTAGTTTCTTTTCTATTGCTATGATAAAACACCATGACTAAAACAATTTATAGGAAGATGGTTGTGGGGACTTATGGTTCCAGAGGAATAAGAGTTCCCCAGCATCAAGGCAGAGAAACCTGGCAGAAGGCAGGCATGGCCACAGGAATGTCAGTGAGTGGGTAGCTTGCATCTGGCACCACAGACAGGAAACTAAGTGTGAACTGGGAATGGCGTGTGGCTTTAAAACCCCAAAGCCAGCCAGGCCCTGGTGACAGGCTTCTAGCAAGGCCACAGCTCCTAAGCTTAGACTCTGGAAGGGCAGCTGGTGTTCTTTACCACCAAGCCATCTATCCAGCTATCCTTTACCACCAAGCCATCTATCCTTTAAGAAACCACATCTTTAAGAGCTCTGACGGGGCCCCTTGTGTTCCAGGCCCCAACGGGCCTCTGGGCCAGTGAATCTTTCTTTTTTTAAGCTTGTTGGAGACACTGAAGCAGGAAGTTTCCAGCCATTGTGTTACTGAAGGATGTGGAGATGAGGTGAGCATGCATCCTCGCAGACAGGGCTAGAGAAGTCCCCGCCCGGGGTCTCAGGGTGTACTTTTGGCCCCTGACTGAAACATCCTGCAGAATCCTGACAAGAGGATGCGCAGGACAGCTGAGGCGGCCGGGACAGCACAGGTCTCTAGTGGGCTCTTGGATGGCGAGTCCCCACAGAGGTGTGAGGCCAGGACTCCCGGCTGCTGGAAGCCCAGCCCCTGCCAGGTCCCAGGCACAGGGCCAACCTCTTCCGGCTATGTTTCCTCATCTGTGAAATGGGGTGTGTGGCCCGCTGCGCTTCCCGGGGCGCCAGGCTCTGGCATGAATGCCTGGCATGCTGCCAGCAGTGTGCATTTGCTGTTACTTTTATACAAGTGAATTTGATAACAAGCTAATTACCGAGAGTCAGCTTCCTGTGAAATCTTACTTGTCAAGTTCTGCCCTTGATTCCGTTTATTCATTTACTCAGGATAAAATACACATTCTAACTAGCTGGTTCTCCTTCAGGTGTTCATGAATATTCACGGGGAGCCTGCAACCTAAGGACAGGGCTGGTGCCACCTGCAGAGCAGCCGCCAAGCCTGGCTCCGAAGGAGTGTGCATGTGTGTGTGTGTGTGTGTGTATGATGTGTTGTGCATGTGTACATGTGTGTGTGCACGTGTCTGGTGTATGGTGTGTGTGGTGTGTTGTGAGATCTTGAAATCATTCTCACCAGCCACGGACAGAGCAGCAGCTTCGTGCCAGTTCGGGGAAGCCTGCAGTGGAGCAGGAGACGTGGAGATGTGGAGGCTTCCTGTGCCCCTGCAGGCTGCGCTGGGCTCACTAGTTGACACACACAGCCTGTCTTCTTTCTCTGGAAAGTGGGGCTGGCCCATGGGTCGGAATTGATGTGAATGTCGTCTTTACACTAAATTCAGTATGTTCTGTTTGCGCTGCAGCCCAGTTTTCTTAAAAGTGCTGTTTCCATCATCATCCTAAGGGCACTGCTAGCTCCTCTCCGGGTTCTTAGGAGGGTTTCTGAGGCAGCTGCTGGCCAGCCCCGCCCATGTCTCCAGTGACAAGAAGAGCTTGTCTTTGCATCAGATGATGTCAAAAGGCCTGAAGAAAACAAAGCACTTTCCCAGGGGAGTGGGGCCTCAGGGACCTAGAGGGGACCCAGGGAGGCCCAGCCCAAGTTTCCAGCAGGGCCTGCTACAGTCAGGCCTCCAGCACTGTTAGTGGTGGTTTATTTCCCGGTCTAATGATGCTCTGGATGTGGCTAAGTAAGTCGAGGCCCTGGCTAGCATGCCCAGATTCCTGCTTTCCACCCCCAGCACTGAGAAGACTTTGCTCTGTGATCCACTCCAATCTCGGCACAAGGTAGGAGCATCGGAAGGTCAAGGTCATCCTCTGCCACATAGCAAGTTCATGACTAGCCTGGGCTTCATGAAACACAACGTAAACACAAACCATGCAAGCAAACAAACAACACAATTAAAACACCTGGAGCAGATGTGGGCGAGATGGGCAGAGCCGGCTGTGAGCCTATCCGAGGGGTGGCTGTAGTGGCAGCTTGGCATGCTTTGGAGGGCTCGAGAGCCTGTCCTAGCCCAGGCTGGGGAACAAGATGGAACCAGTTTTCATCCTGTCCCCACTGCAGGGAAACTTGCTGCCATCCGGATGCTGGGGCTGACAAATAGCACGGACTGGTCACAGGCTCTGTCCACTGTTGTGTTCGCCCAAAAGAACTTGGCACGTTCTCTCACGTGTGCCCAGCTACAGGCCAGGACAGAGCCAGAGGCCAAGGAAATGGCTAGTGTATGGTTAGGGCCTCACCCTACCTGTCCCAGCTCTGAGTGTGTCTCCCCTGTGGGGTCTGGAGAAGGTGGTGACAGACCTGGGAGGGAGAGGACCCAGGCTTTGCACTGGTCTTCTGGCTGAGTGTTTCAGTCTATGGATGGTTGCAGAGGAGATAGCAGGCTTCACACAGAGCCTGTGAGACTGCTCAGTGGGTAAAGGCCCTTGTAGCACAAGCCTTGCTACTTAGGGATAATCCCCAAAGAGAACTGCATCCACAAGTTAACCTTTGACCTGCATACCTGTACCCTAGCATAAGGACACACACTTGTCATTGCACAAACCCGGAAAGGCTTCTAGGGATGTCATAGAGTGAGCCCCTGCACCCAGTTTCACCATGCCCTCACAGTTCATTCCACTGCAGGGCAGAGAGTGGTCATGTCCCCAAGGGGACTGTCCCTGTCCTGCTCTGCCCACAGCCCCCGCCTGCCTACCATTCTCTGCCCACCATTCACAACTCTCACTTTCTCTCTGTATTCTGCAGGCCTTGTGCTTATCCTGCTCCTCCATCTCGGGCTGTTTGTGGGTGTTTTCCCAGAGCTGAAACTAAGCTTCCCTCCTTCGACCAGGCAAAGCCCTGGGGTCCTTCAGAGCCCATTCCTCAGGGAACCTTTCTCTCTCAGATGATGTCACGGGGCCACCATGCTGTGTGTTTTTTCCTCAGTTGTTAGGGAACAGGTCAAATGTGCTGCTGTAATGTCGTGCTTTTCAGTTCCTGGAAGCTGGTCACCTCCTCTTCGCCACAGCAGACCCCTGTTGGACTGAAGGGTGACCCCCAAGGACACAGAAAAACTGTATTCCTCCAGCAAACACTGGGCTCCTGATGTGATGACTGGGATCAGGAGCCTTAGAAGCATCCAGGCCGAAGGACTAGGCTCTGCAGAACGAGGATGAGGTTTTCCCTGAGATAGATCCAGAGCAAGATGGGTCTGTGTTAGCAAGCAGCTGATGACATGGGCAGAAAAAGCAGTGCTTATTTTTCAAGGGATATATACTTGTGTTAATAACAATGAGTGATGTCCAGAAGGGAAAAAAATACATATAGAATAACTAAGATTGCACACTGCGGTATATACAATAAATATAATGGGATTAACTTTCCTTAACAAAATGCAAAGAGCCTCATGTTAACTTTTATACGCAAACACATGTGCATGGGAAAGCAAGTGATCCTGAAAATGTAGAAAGGAACTGACAAATAAATAGAAGGCAAATAGAAAAGAAAAGTCAAGGTTAATATCAGTAGGAGTAGACTTTCAAAAGGACAGTTTGACATGACATGATACCAGACAGGCATGTTTTAGAACAGAATGGCAAAGCTCAGAGTATCTCAAAGAAGACTCCTAGGCAGAGAATAAGATATTGGCAAGGCACACAATTTGAATATGAAACTTAAACAGCATCTCATTTTTTTAAATTG